ATGAGCTTTGTAAAAATCGACGCATTTCAGAAAGGCGGGGCATAGAGGAGAAACAATAATGTACAGTATGTGGAAAATAATGTGTTTTTTTAACCTTAAACGGCATAAACACATTTCATTACACCAAATACACAAAATAATATTCTTTTTAGCAGCATCATATGACCCCTTTAAATTAAAGGAAGTTTATTGTAAAGCATTACCTCAGTCTGAGAAAATGGGGACTCAGGTTAAACGCAAATAATCTCATAATCAAGTGTCTCTGTCAGTTTGCGTTCAAAGGAGAGCAAACATCGAGGACCGTAGAAATGTGTGCAGGTGCAAATATGCAGTTTGTTGTGGAGAACAGTATATTTCCACAAAGGACACATCTAGGCCTATTTAGCGGATCAAACACTGTACTTATGCTAATATGTTGCTTCAAACACGCTTGGCTCAGAAGTTCCAATCTATAAACCCATCACCCACTGTGGTCTGGTTTCATTTGTAGACAGTCCGGATTCATTGACTTAGTTTCAGTTGAGATATACAATATATGCTTTTTAAAGAATTGACTGATTGTTATTTGTTCCACTATTTTCCAATTCAACTCCACAAACGCTCGCATTTTACTATTAAGTCCTTACGTCGTAAACATAACACTGTGACATCTAACAGAAACTGACAAATCATAATTTTGACAAGCGTATGGTATGCACCTATAAGGAAGAGGGAAAATTAATGAATCAATTAACTGTAATTGATCATGAACACTCGTGTTTAATAATTTTTCAAACTAAATATATAAAGTTATATATTTATATATATATAAGGTTATAGTGAAATAAGATGTTTATTATTATGTTTATAATTTCATAAATTACATCCATTTAGAAAATGGATTGATGGGACACATTTTGAGTTAACAATTCTTGCAAGACGTTTTTCTTATAATTGTCAAATTTTACAACACACAATTCTGAATGTAATCTCACTATTTTGAAATATAAGCTTAAAATTAACACAAAATTGTGATAAAGTCAGAACTGTGTTTTTTTAAACTCGCAAATTCAAAGATTTAAACTTGCAATAAAAAAAAAAAACAGTAAGAAACTTATAAACTCATTATTGTGAGAAATCAAGTTAGATCTGTTGTAAACTCTCAATTCGGAGAAAGTCCAAATTGTGAGACTTGCTATTTTGAGAAAAAAAAATTAAATAATAGTCAGAATTGCAGGATGTTAACTCGGAAATATAAACTGAAATGAGAAAAAAAGTTTGAGTTGTATGTTGTAAACTTGTAATTCTGCTGGGGGAAAAAAACGAATTGCGAGATATAAACTCAGAATTGTGAGAAATAAAGTCAAAATGTATTACAGCACGTAAAACGTTTACCAGGTTTAGTTGTTGTTTTGGATAATTGGGGGAAAAATTGATGAAGGAAATGCTCGGTCTAAACAATAAAGTTTTATGGCCTAAACTATCAGCTCATTTTCCCCTATTCTACAGCTGTGTCCTCTGATTAAAGAAGGACAAGTGTGAGAGGACTGTGTGTGTGTGCTAGACACGGCTTTACTGTCCCCCAGCTCTTAAAACACACACTCCTGTTTCATCCATCATTCAGCTCTGCCATTAAACCTCCCTGTGTGAGCAATCAACAGCCCAACAAGCTTCCTGGCTCACTGCTGAGAGTGTGAGTGTATGCTTGGCAGAAGAAAGGGCACAGAGAGACACAGAAAACAGCTATGAGCGAGAGATGTGTTTGCAGGGTTTCTGACATCTTATGCCTAATGAGAGCCATTTTTGCTGTTTTGTACAGAGATGTCTGCGGCAGGCTTGCTTTGGTTCATCCACGGGTCAGCATCTCTGTAATGATCAGATTCATTGAAAAGCTCCCATGATAGTCACATGCACTTCCTCTAAAATATCCACATCATGCTCTCTAGGCATTAAAATACGTCATTGAAACTCTCAGCTGCTGATACTGATGCAGTTATTGTCCTCAGTGGCATTAAAAGATCTAGTTTAACCAACAAAAAAAAATTCCTAGTTATTGTATATGGACCCCTGACTCGAAATGCGCAGCATTATGGGAGATCATTGGCAGTGAAGGATACATATGTGCTGCATTCTGGTGCAGTTATTGTCCTCAGTGGCAATAAAGGGCTAGTTCGCTCAAAAATGTTTTCAAAGCTATATGGACCCATAACGGGATTGTGGGATAACATTGGCAGCATCTTATTAGACAAGATGTTAATCAAAAACAGATCCGGATGTGTTGTTGTTATTTCTTACTTACTGGAAAGGCGACATTTTTTGAGGTTTTGAAGCCATGGGCAAGGGAGAGTTTTGTGGCTCAAACTTACAGTATGCAATATTAAAACTAATGTAATATTTCTCAAATGTCTGCTACAAATAAAAGCAGTTTGAAAATACACAACTTAAAGGAACACTCCACTATTTTTGAAAATAGGCTCATTTATTTTCCCCCCTAGAGTTAAACAGTTGAGTTTTACCGTTTTCGAATCCATTCAGCCGATCTCCGGGTCTGGCGCTAGCACTTTTAGCTGTAGCTTAGCATAGATCATTGAATCCGTTAGCATCTCGCTCAAAAATTACCGAAGAGTTTCTATATTTTTCCTTAGCCATATCGGCCTAGAAAATCACAACTTTTCATTTGCCGTTGGTTTTAGTACACGATGTATCTACAGAAGAGTCAAGTTTTAAATAGGAAAAATATAGAAACTCTTTGGTCATTTTTGAGCGAGATGCTAACGTTCTAATCAGATTCAATGATCTATGCTAAGCTACAGCTAAAAGTGCTAGCGCCAGACCCGGAGATCGGCTGAATGGATTCGAAAACGGTAAAACTCAACTGTTTAACTCTAGGGGAGTTTGAAAATGAGCCTATTTTCACATTGGAGTGTTCCTTTAAATACATAGACTATATAAATTAATGTCAATTACAAAAAGTGTTGCATGTTAATAGAAATGCCTTTTAAATTTGTACATTGTGTAATTGTACATGAATTTGTGAAAATCAGATTTACTTTAGATTCAAAATCATATTGACATCAAAACCCACACCCTCATTTCATGTTAAACATTTTCAAATTCAAATTGGTAAACATGTAGAAAACACTGTTTTTCAAAACGCAAATTCTAAATGATCAGCATTATTATATATTAATATAATATACATTATTTTATATGAATTAATGTTTATTACTATAAAGTATTAGGGTCAGTAAGATTTTTATAATATTTTTGAAGGAAGTTTTTTGTGCTCACCAAGGCTGCATTTATTTGATCAAAAATACAGCAAAAAAAGTAATGTTGTGAAACATTGTTTAAATATAAGTCTTGTCTGTTTTGACATATTATTAATATTTAAAATAACTGTTTTCTATATGAATATATTTTAAAATGTAATTTATTCCTGTGATGGCATAGCTGAATTTTCAGCAGTCATTACTCCAGTCTTCAGTGTCAAATGAGCCTTCAGAAATCATTCTAATATGCTGATTTGCTGCTCAAGAAAAAAAATCTTGATTAAATGTTCTTGATACATTTTAGAATTTTAATATTTGTGATAAAAAAAATTTCTGGATTATTTGATGAATAGAAAGTTCAAAAGAACAGTATTCATTTGAAATAGAAGTCTAACATCATAATGTCTTCATGAATTTAATGCATCCTTGCTAAATAAAAGTGCAAATTTTGATCAAATATATCACATATATATCACACACACACACACACACATATATATAATATATTTATATATACTTACTGACCGCAAATGGTACATATTACAATAACATATTCATATTAATTCAAAATAAAATTGAAAACAACAACGGAAATATATAAGCATAGGCTAACAACGATTAATAACTGTCTAAATCCTCAGATGTCAACATAAGCTCTCTGAGCGCATTCATTCACTCACTCTCTCTGTAGGTGATGAAGTGAGCAGAACTGTGCTGAACATGCAGCTTCCTGCCCATTTGAGCACAGGAAGAGGGGTCAGACCCTATTTCTGCTGCCTTTGGTGGCATCCAGAAATTGCTTTTTTCCCTGAGATTGTAGAAGAGAAGGGACACTTGATGGAGAGGGCCAGCACTCACTCTCGCCGGCCCCGCTGAGATTACAGTCCGCCCCGTGATTTATGGGCCAGAACCTCCCACACTGCCTCTGTGTGAAGGAAGCAAAGATTCATACAGAAACAGGTGGTTACGGAGAAATGCTCTTAACTGCGGCCAGGTGCATCAACTGTATCCAAATGAAGATGGGAAATCTGAGTGTGTGTGTGTGTGTGTGTGTGAATGTAGCTGGAATGAGACCTGAGAGATGCTGTGTCATGGATGATTACTTTTTACTATTCCTGCAATTATTCGAGTGATTGAACCGCTGTGAAATATGACTGAGAGAAACTCCTGAATCTTTCTTGCACAGCGGAGATCTTTAAGTCCCACATTGCTCACTGGTGGTCTCCGGATGGGGCCAGGCTTGCATACGCGACCATCAACGACACACTGGTGCCCAAAATGGAGATCCCCATGTTCACCGGCTCCGTCTACCCTACGGCAAGACAATACCATTACCCCAAGGTAAAGATTATGCATGGCCATAAGCGTGATGATAGTGCTGAAGATTATAATGTGTAATGCTTGAACGTTTTTCTTCCAGGCAGGAGAGGAAAACCCTGTCATCTCTCTTTATGTGGTGAATCTCAATGGCCCTCTGCACACCATTGAGATGAGAAGACCGGAGGACCAAAGAATAGGGTAGGCTGACTGTACTCTCATTTACGCCTCAAATTAATAGGTTTATTCTGTGGAAATCAGTTTACATCTGGTAAAATGTGTTAAATGCGGAGGCTCTAAAGGGACATGGTGATGGGGAAAAAACCGAGATGAGTGGAAAAATTCAATTTCAGTGCTTTGCATCCAGGTAACGTACCTTTCACTCATAAATGTTGCATTCAGTAGCAAAGGTTTTGTGATGAAAATAGTATGAGGTGAGAAGAAAAAAAAAATATTTCAGTGCTTTTGCAGGGCAATGCAATACTTTTGCAAGAGTAAAAATACTTGTGAGCAAATGCAAAGTTTCTTGGAGGAACACAACACTTTTTGCAAGAGAGCTCAAAAGTTTTGCAAGAAAATGCAAAAGCATTGAAATTAATATTTTCCTCCCATCTCATAAATTTGTCCATCACCATATCCTCTTGGGGCAATAATTTTGTGTTATGGCTGAGAATGCTTACAGAAGTGGGGATAAAATCTTGTACAACCAGGCCAGGAACCGATAAATGGACGATATTAAAATTTTGTACTGCTACATAAAATCGATAAAAAGTAATTTGACATTCTACAATTGAATTTATGCATCATAACATCATAATGTACAGTATTAAAAATTGATATTATTTTAGAGATTTGCTGAAGATTAAGTAACAATTTATTGTTATTATTATTATTTTAAATAAATAATAATTTATTTATAATAATTTATAAATATTTTTATATTGTGTTTTTAAAACACAAGGTGCAAGCAGAGCCGATCCTAGACTTCTGGGGCCCTAAGCAAAACTTTGCCGGTGGGGGGTGGGGTGCTGTCTGTGCGTTCATAAAAAAAAATCAATTTTAACAATTAAACAATTTAACCTATAATAGCCTACTATACACACATTGGTTAAAGTAGGCCTAATCAAATGTAAAAATAAAGCACTTAACCATATAAATTAAACATAAATTGATTCTTAACAAAGATATGAACAATATTCAGTGAAGAGCAGTGAATAATTCTCTCATTATCTTTTGTTGTTTGATTAACAGATGATGACAGACAGCAGCAGGTTTATACAGTAGGATGCTGTCACGGAATGCACAGATAGTGACTAGCATTCGATTGCTTTTCAAACTGTTTATTTTCACTTAAGAAATAACTGACTATGTTTAGTGAAAACTCACCAAGACAGACATTTTGAAATATACAAAGTGCAAAGTAGTCTATATTTGTCCGTGTTTCAGTCCGTCTAGAATTGCGCACATGGAAAGCGCTTAAAGGGGTCATATGATGCTTTTTTAAAGATCATTATTTTGTGTAATTGGTGTAACAGAATATGTTGACATGCTTTAATGTTCAAAAAACACATTATTTTTCAGTGTCTCTTCTGTGGCTCAGTGCGAATTTAACTCGTTTTTTTAGTAGAATCGAGCAAGAACGGCAGGAGACTGCACACGGCACTCAAGTTACATGATTTGACTGAATTGGATGTTACTTAGAAAGGGCAACAGCGCACCGCTGTCGGAAAGGTTATTCATGTTTTCATAACCGCTGGCCAAAATCAAAAATGAAACTAAAATTAAATAATCTTTGAGAGCAAGGGGGCCCCCTGGTGTTTCGGGGGCCCTACGCAACATGCGTACTTTGCACATCGGGAGGATAGGCTCTGGGTGAAAGGTACAACAAAGATAATTTAAAGGGGTCATATGATGCTGCTAAAAAGAACATTATTTTGTGTATTTGGTGTAATGAAATGTGTTTATGCGGTTTAAAGTTAAAAATTCATTATATTTTCCACATACTGTACATTATTGTTTCTCCTCTATGCCCCGCCTTTCTGAAAC